TGGGTGTCTGTCTGATCAGCTTCCAGTAACTGGTGCCAATACAGATACTGATTGTCTTACCAGGTGAAGACCACCCTCAGAAGATGACTGGAAAGTAGATGCAATATGGTGTATGGACTTCATGGTACTAAATAAATAGAGGATCTACACAGCAGGACCTGCTCAAGGTTAGTGATCACCAACATGAAAAAGTGTTAGCTTGGGACTAAAACTCAGGGCAGGACATGTTGGCCAAGGAACAAAGTTGCTTCCAATCGCTCCAAGACCTCTTAAAGAAAGTAGGAGCCAATAGCCTGTCAAGAATGTAATATAAGTTTAGCCCCTTGTTCCCACAGACAGGAAAGTGAGATCTAAAACATTGGGAATGGGTAGGAAATAATTTTTGGACAGCTCAGAGATGTGGAGAGAAAATATGGCCAGGAGACCCTCTCTACATGGGGAATATTGAGATCAGTTCTTATCCCCTTACAACCAATGTCTACATTGTAAAATCCAAAAGTAACAGAAGTTGCAGATCCTCTGGTCATGGCTGCTGCACTTTCCTCACAAAAATCAGTTCAACAATGAAGAGAGTTACCTTCAGGAGGAAAGGCTACCCCCATATGTTGCAATCTTCACCAGAAGATTTATGACCCGGGCCAGTCAGAAGCACTATGACTAAATATCAACATGTATGGTGGGAGTGGTGGCCTGGGGAAAGGCCTGTGTTAACAACGGTGTGCTTCCCAGCTAGTATAAACCATATCTAGTTGATGAGAATAGTGAAGCGAATGTTCATACCTCTCTTAGTTCTGAAAACCTAAAATACCTTAGACAGAGTTTTTCTAAAAATGAGGTACCATTCCAAACACAAGCATCACATATTGTGTCAGTGTCTCACTTTCACTGGCTTCAAACTGCATGCTTCAGGGAGAAAAACAAAGAAACATCAGCTGGCTCCAGAGCAAAACAACTCCAGCCTGTTGTTAAATGACCAAAATAAAAGTTACAACCCAATCTTTCCAGGCATAGGAAGGTTCCAAGCAAAAATGAAATTACAAATTTTAGCTAATTGATAAATATACTTTTGTTTTCCAATTTGAATTAATGTTGAATTAATGGTGTTCTTGAAACATTTTCTTTTTTTTTGTTTTGTTTTTTGTTAAAATACATATTGTCATTTCCATATAATAACTCAGAAATCTTTCATTGATTAAAAATAATGTGCTAATTGTTACAATCTGGATTTCATAGGTTATTAAAACTTTTAAAGTATTTAGATGGAGACCCTTAGATTTGCTAAATGGGACTTCTGTTGGTGGACAAAGAAGCAGCTGCCCAGAAAACAATTATTCTAGTCTTTATTCACTAGTGGGACCCCCCCCATAATTTTCATAGCCTTATGGGAGATACACCCAAGAAGTATTTCTTTTTTTGTTTGTTTGTTTGTTTGTTTGTTGTTTTTTGAGACAGGGTCTCACTATGTAGTTGAGACTGACCTGGAACCCACTGTGTAGCCCAGGCTGGTCTTGAACTCACAGTGATACTCCTGCCTCAGCCTCACAAGTGCTGGATTACAGGCATGTGCCACTACACCCAGCTTTTAAAACTGCAACCTTTTTTAAAAAATTAATTTATTTTAATTTTTTGCTACAGGAGATTGAACTTGGGTCCTTGCACTTGCAAGGCAGATTATGGAACCACTAAGCTAAATCCCAGGCCCTAGAAATAGTTCTTAAATATATCATTGTGATATGTTTACATTGCTAATCTTTAAAAAAATAGATTTTCTGTGAGAAAAACAAGGTTTTATTTTAGAAAGATGATTTGGTACCTAACTATATTAAAAGGAATAAAGTTTCATATAATTTTGATACTTATTGCTACTTTTCTGGTGTACTGAATATATTCATGCCTTTTGACTGTACAAGTCTTCCAACATATTGCTTATGTTAATAATCCCCTTTTGATTTTGCTATTTGCCTTTCTCCTACATTCCAGTTACTTATGGTAATAAGTACGTATATAGACTGGTATATTTTCCTTAGATGATATCCTATTAAAAGATAATGACATGGGTTAGAGATTTTTTGTGTTTTTGGAGGGGAATGTGTGTGATTAATATTGCCTATTTTGTACTAA